GCAAATAGCCTCGAATTTGCGTATTCATTTTCGTATTGGTTTTTACAAATGTTTTTGTTGGTTTATCAACTATTTTATTCAACTCTTATTCTTTATTCAAGTTTGGGATCAACTGTATAAAATATAGACAATAAACAGGACCGGCTCAATACAAATGGGGGCCTTAAGCAAAAATTTAGACAGAAACTTTTACGCCTTCTTATTTTTGTTTAGTCGTTTATCTGTTTTGTGATTACTAATTGGTTGAGTTGACACAAAACAGATGGACGATCAAACGGAAATAAGACGGTAAACCACATTGTAATGTTTTTATTTTTTTTTGAGTGAATAATATAAAAAAATTAATCATTCAAGAGACAAATTAAAAAATTTTGTATCTTTTAGGAAACAAAAAGGGATTTTCCCTTTAATAATTAGGTTCACTCCCACTACAATCAAATTCAAATAAATTGGTCCAAGTGCAAAAAACCAATGGCCACTCCTAAGCTTGGATTACACACTATCCTGTTTATGGCAAATTAAGCTATGTACTCTTCAACTAAAATTGCCAGTTGGAATAAAGTTTTGATTGTGACCAAACATGTTGCCTTCCATTCAAATAAACTCAATTCCCCGTGTGAGACTATCCATGGGACCTAAGAGCACTAAAAAATACCCTCTTTTTCATTGTGGGGATGATGTGGCAAGGTTTTGAGCTGTCACTATCTGCCACGTAGGACAAAATGCAAGCTTGTACAGCAAATGTTGCTGCTGAATGCTGATGATAATGGAGTGTACTGCACTGGATAAAGGAAAACCGATTTCTTGGGTTTTTGGGCAAGCTATACAACATTACAACCATATATGTACTAAAATTTGTGTCAAATTATTTGTAAACATTGAATCAGCGAGTCTCATTATTAATTTAACGACTGTGGTTTATTTGGGTACAAATTTTAATGCATAAATTTGATGCATAAAAAAATTGTTATCCATATAATAGAACACATGTTTTTTTTGAGAAAAAGAGAGATAATGATTGACTCGTATTTAATATATAATTAAATTTTATATAATAAGTACAATTTTTTTTTTTGACAGTTTAGAGGTTGGTCTAGGGTTATTTGATAATATCATTTAATGCTTAAAATTGAATATTTTAAACATTTAATGAATTAAATCAATTGAATAACCTAAAAATTATACAATTTAATGTTTTAAATACTTTGTAAAAATAGACTAAACTTTTAAATAGCAAAACTACCTACTTATCACAAGGCCTATTTGTTCATCGGGTCCGGAAGGGGGTTTAAGAAAAATAATTTGATAGACCCTGTAATTCCGTGTTTGGTTAGAACTTTTAAATTTGTAATTCATATATCAGCCCGTAAGTGATCCGATGTATTAAACTCACATATAGGGGGTTGGACAAACCCAAGGGTAGGTGGTTTCATATATCTTAGCCTAGGTTAACTACGTCAAATGACACTTCTATTTCTAATAAAATATCATATCTACCAAATCACATCATAATCCCCCCAATTACTCCTCTATGTAATTAAGCAAATATAGGTGTGGATTGAATTGACAAATAGGTAATATAGTCATTTATAAAACAAATGTGTGTTGATAAAATTTTCTCAATTGACAAATATACCCTCAATACTCACCATGCATAACCACCACAATTACACCATCGCCACTACTATAATCATCATTATTGCCACTGCCACTGTCTCCATCACCACCATTATGACGCCACCGCCACCACCACTGTGCTGCCACCACCATCTCCACCGTCACTATCATCACCATTGTGCCGCCACTAGGCCACCACCATTGTACAACCACCATTGCACCACCACCATCACTGCAACCACCATTATGTCATCATCGCCGCCATCGCCATCACCACTATTGTGGTAGGTGGTAATGGTAGGAATAATGTAGTTATAGTAAGATGGTTAAAAAAAGAATGATAAAATTAGAATAATTTCAGCTCTTTATATTTGTTAAATAGTTTGATTCAACTGAATACTTAAATTTCAGTGGATATCAAACAGTCTACAAATTAAAAAATTGTATTCTCAGCACTTAGAATTTAACATTCAGGTTTCAATTATATCAAGCACCATCTTAAATGATCCTCTCACTCAGAGGCAAACCAAGAAATTAGATTTAGGGTGGACACATTAACAAGTTTTGCTTTTTTTTTTAAATGATCGTAGAAGTTCATAATTTCATATTTACTGAAATTATATTTAATACTTAAAATTTATTAAACACGTGTACACAAAAAATTTAAAAAAATTAATTATAATTTGGTGCCAAGGATGAGACTAATTATTGTCATGTATAATTGGTCAAATAAATTTTTATCTTTTGAAAGCATTACAAATCAATCCTATCAACAAATATTTTTTCTATATGTAAAATTATGGTAATAATCTTCTATTTTTGACTCTATAGCTTCTTACATAAAGACACTAATTTCTATACAATAATAAAATAATTCTATAACTTTAAAAATTATAAAATAACCATAGTATGTTCAAAACTTATTTGAACTTGTCCAAATCGTATCTAAAAATTAAGAATAATATTAGTTTCACCAAATTGAGATTTAATTGATGGAGACTCAACGACTTTTAACCCTCGGGTGAATAGTAACTTTATTAAACATTGAGACTCAATATTAAACTTAATGTCACAATATATTAGGTACTAAAATTAAATTCCAATAATATTTGGTCAAAAGTTAAGAATCATTTTAGGTGGAGTTTTTATCCTAATCTATACCACAAGAATACGAAAATAGAGTTGTGTATTATATACATTTAATTGTCCCCAGATTATTCAGTAACGACACAATAATAGAAGTTTTATGCACAAGATCATCCTAATTTTTCTTAACAGCCGGCATTTTCCTACAGGTCACGCTTCTAACTTACAAAATGTGAGACAGTCCCCATTAGTTCAGTCCCATCCTTATGCTAATTGATGTAGTGTTTGGTAATCATATGTTTGCCTTTTTTTTTGTTTTTGATTTCACTTTTTGCTAAAAAAAAAAAAATAATATGTTTAGAGAATGTTTTTATTCTTTTTTTAGGTTGGTATGTTTTTGTAAACAACCCCAAATTTTAAAAACATCAAAATAGGTGTTTTTAAAAACACAAGAAAACGAAAACACACGTCTCTCTTGATACCATTTAATGAGGTCTAGCTTTCGAACTCCATTAACAGCAAAAAAAGAGTTTTTTTCATTCCACTATAAAAACGTTGTTTACCCATTTTTGCCTATTCTCTCTCTCTCTCCTCTTTATCTCTCAAACTCTCGTTCATCTCCATAAACAAAGGAGCTCTTAGATCTCAACCAAGCCAGCACTTAGATCTTAGATCTCCAACAACAAAAAGAACTCTCAGATCTCAGATCTCCGACGACAAAAGGAGCTTTCAGATCTCCAGTGACAAAAGAGCAACGAATGAGCTCTCATATCTCAAGCCAACGCTCCATCTCCATCTCCATTAATACATAGAATATACATAGATCTATAAGTTTGGTTGTGGTGGTTGGGATGGGTTGTGCATTCCGATGGTGGGGATTGGATTGGGGGTGGGTTTAGGTGGTTTTGGTTTCGGTGGTGATCTAGGTGGATTTCGGTGGTTGGATTGGGGTTGGGTTTTGATGGTTGTAGTGGTGGATTTCGGTGGTTGTGGTGGTGATGGATTTCAGTGATGGGGTTTCGGTGGTGGGATGGGGTGGTCAGTGGGGTTGGGTGGTGGTTTTGGGTAATTAGTGCCCTTTGTTGGTAAGGTTTGGGTGGTGAATATTTGGTATAATAGCAAACAAATTTTTAATTTTATTTTCACAATTTTTTAGATATAACTGATTACCAAACATGTTCTATATTTTTAATTTTTATCACAAAAAAAAAAAAAAATTTATTCTGTTTTTTTTTATAAAAACGAAAACGTTATCAAACACACACTAAGTAATTTCACTTTTTTTTTTTTTTTTGGTTTGTTTTGTTTACTAGTTGACCAAATCAGTCTTTTTTATTGTTACTGTAATATTTACTTCATGTGTAGGATTAGAGCTTTGTGATTTACTCAAATTCCAGATAATACCCTTATGTTTTCTGTAATTATTTTAATGACGCCTAGCAACATTATTCATATTTTATACTTTAAGAGATGTGACTTTATCAAGAGAAGATAAAAAGTTGTATTAAAGTTGGTTATTAAAAGCATTTTGTATTATATTTAGTCTTATTTCGTATATGTATATAATAGATTCTACCCGTACAATTAAGCCAATTTTAATATCACCTACATATGTGCAATTATAATATAATAAAACTATACAAAATCTTATTTTACTATTTTGCCCTCCAACTAAATAAAAGTATGTATAACTAGATTAGATTTATGATATCTATTGTCTTACCAAATATTTGATTACAATGAATATTATTTTTATCTCATATTTAATGTTATAATTTATTCGTTTATATAGAATTAATCTATATCGACTAATACAATCTTTTCTTTTATTATACGATAATCAAATGAACTTTTATGGATTAAAAATTTTACTTAATTTATTGATCTAATGATATAAAATTTATTATAATAATTTAAATTAATATAAATTTTAGTATTTAATAAGACTCTCAATCAATTCAATAATTATAGTAAATTATTTGAAAAAATTAAATGAATAAAATAGTTTCTACTAGCATTGCTCATAGAATATTTAGCCTTTCCATTTATAGATATCAAACCTCTGTATATCAGCCATTTCAAACACCAAAGCATTCTGACACACTGACACAAATTTTCTCGACTGCTCCTTTTTAATCTTAAACGCGACTATATCGGATTTCCCTGTCCCGCTGGCCGCACCATTTCTTCCACTTCTCTCTGTGAGCAATACTTTCCGAGAAAGCTCAAGAAAACTCCACCATAAGCAAGAAAAGGCCCTTAAGAGGCTGTGTATTGTTACAGTGCCTCTGTGGACAATGGCTGTGTCTAAGAACAAAAGGAAGCAGCAATGCTTCATATCAGTACCATCTCAAATAGTCAACTCTCTCTCCTCAAATTCACTTCAATCACTCCTTCTCTCTCCCAAGAAGAAGAGCTCAAAGGCCAAGCTTTTGAAGAACCCAATGTTCTGGTTTTTCTTCCTATTTGTTTTTGGATTCCTTGATATGTTGAGGTTGTGGTTCCGTTTTGATCCTTTGGTCCCTTTCTCGCAAAACCCATGTTCCATTCCTCAACAAGAGTCCTCAATCTCTGGACAAGAGTCTTCAATCTCAAAATGGTATGCAAGTTCAGAGCTCAATGTTGGACCTAAGAGTGAGAAAAATGGTGAATTTTTGGAGAGAGATGAAGAAGAGAGTGAGTTCTGGAAGCAACCTGATGGGTTGGGTTACAGGCCATGTTTGGAGTTCAGTAAGGAATATAGGAGAGAGAGTATGAAGATTGTGAAGGACAGGACAAAGTATCTGATAGTGGTGGTTTCTGGTGGAATGAATCAGCAGAGGAACCAGATTGTTGATGCAGTGGTGATTGCAAGAATTCTTGGGGCTGCTTTGGTTGTTCCCATCTTACATGTCAATGTCATTTGGGGTGATGAGAGGTTTGTGCAATTACCAAAGTCTTTTGATTTGTTTAGCACGGACACATATGTGTTACTTCTAATGACTTCATTTCTTGTGTCCCAATTTATAAAGTTAGGTACTTTTCGATTCAGCTTAGCAAACACCCATGTTGTATGATAGTGATAAAGCTCTCAGGGCCCAATGTATCAACTTATGCCATTTGATTCAGCATAGCAAACACCCATTGCATATTATTGGTGCACTCAGTGCCCTGAGTTTTGTCAGTCATGTGAAATGGTGAATATTCAATGAGTATTGTGCTTAAGCTTGAATAAATTTGTGTTTTTTTTTATAGTGAGTGATTGGATTAATTGTCTGCATTGTGTAGGAGATAAATTAATTGTTCTAATTTTGGTTTTCTGATGGGTGCAGTGAATTTTCTGATATATTTGATTTGGATCATTTCAAGGAAGTTCTTGCAAATGATGTGAGAGTAGTTTCATCTCTGCCATCTACACATTTGATGACAAGGCCGGTGGAGGAGAAACAGACTCCATTTCATGTGACCCCTCAATGGATCCGTGCACATTACCTAAGAAGGGTAAGAGAAATGCTCTCTTGGTAGGTTGAAGTTACTTTTTTGGCTGTTGACTAAGCTTAAAGATTGGTTTATAGTTATAGAAAATGTGGGAAAGAGATGAGATGCCTTGGTAGCTATTCTCTTCAGAATAAACCATCAATGGCAGTAACTTCATCAAGGGGGTTATGAACTTGGTTGGATGGTTTTTGTTTCTAAAGTGTGTGTTTTTGGTATAGAGTCATTCTTAGAAAATGTCAGCAATTAGCCTTATTTAAACTGCTGTGGAATGGAGATAATTATAGAGTTGGAATTGTTAATCGGAATTTACCTTATATCAAGTGCCATAGAACTGTGAGCCATCCATTTGGATCATTGGCTAAAAATTTTAAGTTTACCATTTTATTGTAATAGCTGAAGGGCTGGGGGGTTTCTGTTTCAACAGTAAACTTTCACTCTGTTATAGTTATGATATTTTCTGCTGGCTAACATGTCCAAAATGATCCTGTTATCAATTTTTCCTGTTATTTCTCATCGTTTTATTTATTATGAGTAGAAGTTCTGAATGCAACATTGATGATAACAAGTGGGTAGTGGGTTCCAAGTGAAGTAAAAAACTTGTTGATATGATTCTGTTGGTTCCTGCAGCATAGGAGGGATGGTATTTTACTCTTACGTGGTTTAGATTCGAGGCTTTCCAAGGATCTTCCTTCTGACCTTCAAAAGCTTCGGTGCAAGGTATTTTGGGTTTTCTTCTTTCTCAGATTTGATCTGTTTGTCACTTTGTAATTTCCTTTTTCAGTTACCCTTGCACAAATGGTGGAGAAATACTGTGTCTTGATATCTGTTTGGAATCTATAAGTAGCATTTTTTGTGGCCTTATAATCATAATTTGATAACGCCCCTGCTGATGTGGATAGTCCTATGCAACCTGAAGATCAATATTGTTTACTCGACTAACTTTTTTTTGTTAGCCATTACACCATTTAAAAAAAACTCCAAATTTGGCTCTTTCTAATATTGAAAATTTTCATCTAATCTTTGTTTTAATTTGTAGGTGGCATTTCATGCACTCCGGTTTGCTCCATCAATCTTAGAACTTGGAAACAAGCTTACTGAGAGGATACGGAGAAAGGGGCCTTATCTAGCTCTTCATCTGCGAATGGAGAAGGATGTCTGGGTGAGGACAGGATGTCTTCCTGGCTTAAGTCGTGAGTATGATGAGATAATACACAATGAGAGAAAGCAACGGCCAGAGCTTTTAACTTCAAGATCAAACATGACTTACCCGTGAGCGAAAGCTTGCTGGTCTGTGCCCCTTAAATGCCTTGGATGTCACACGGTAAGCTTTGTGCTATTATACTGAGTGCCTTTTGCTGATTGGAATGTTGTTTCATAACTAATTTTCTAAATCATATTGGAATTGTGTGGGAAACATTAATTCTGTGTAGGCTGCTAAAAGCTCTAGGAGCTCCAAAAATGCGAGAATCTATTGGGCTGGAGGGAATCCATTGGGTGGGAAAGAAGCCTTGCTACCATTGACCCGAGAATTTGCACATTTCTACAACAAGGAAGACCTTGCATTGCCTGGGGAGCTTGAACCACTTTCAAAGAAAGCCTCTTTTATGGCTGCCATTGATTACATAGTTTCAGAGAATAGTGATGTTTTCATGCCATCCCATGGTGGAAATATGGGCCATGCTATCCAGGTATCGCCACCATGCCTCTCATTGTGAACAAATTTCCATACCTGTCAATGATTAATGTTCACTAATTGTATTTCCAAATAAATTCACAAGTTTATGAATCGTAAAATTACTTCTTTTTGTCATAATTGCAGATTTACTTGATTAAACTGTTTTTATGACTTAAAGGGCTGCAACGTTGTGCCTAACAATTTCCAGAAATTTCACCCGTAACCTAGTGCTTGAGGCCTTTTGCCATGAACACTATGGTCTTTTTATTGGCAATTCTGTTTGTTTGTTTTTTCGTTGTTCTGTCGTCTGTTGTGTTTCTTTTTTGGATGCTACAACTGTAGAGGGACACATCTATGAAGTGGTTGTATGTCTTGGTCATTAAAAATTCCTTTTAGTTTGAATACATCAGCACACTTTTGAGTATTGGCTTTTACATTTTCCAGGATTCCCATATTTCATAGAAGATTTTCTCTCTGAACACTCATCAATCCAAGACTCTATTTTCCAAATGATGTACAAGTAATTTAATCAACTCTGCATTTTATGTAGTTGGTTTTCTTATGTATGTACTTGTTCGTCTGTGATCGTCTTGGTGTTAGAATTTGAAATGGATAGAATAGACATTATTGAAGATAAGCAACTTAACTCTACGCAAGAAAGCATTGTCCCTACTATTTAGGGTTGGCTACCTGAATTAATATTTCCACCATTATGCTTTATTAAGGATCATATTTTCTATTA